CCTTATATAGAGTTCGCTTGTTGCGGAGAGACATGTTACTGTGTCTGCCCAACATGCTGTTGAGCCTACCCATGTAAAATCGCGCGGTGCGAGTTACCTTCTTGATATGGGGCTCTAAAGTGAGCCTTGCATCAAAGGTGACGCCTAAGTATTTGGCTTTTATTTGCCATGGGACAGGGGTTCCTAACATCCTGATTGGCGGAGTGGCGGTGAGACGGCGTCGTTTATATTCGAAGCAAACGGCGGAGCTCTTCTCCGGGTTTACGTCGATATGCCATTTTTGGAACCAAGCTCCTAAGTCGTTAACTGACTTTTGGATCTTGTTCCGAATCTGTGGCAGTGAGTTGCCTTTAGAGTAAAGGGCTGTGTCATCTGCGAAGAGGGCTAGTTTAACACCATTCGACGGGATAGGGATGTCGTTGGTGAATAGTATATATAGGAGGGGGGCAAGCACAGAGCCTTGAGGGACACCGGCTTTGATTTGACGAGTAGAGGATAGCGTGCCTTCGTGTCTAAAACTAAAGGTACGATCCTTCAAATAGGAGGCTACAAGGCGGACGAGGCGGTCAGGGAGGCCTTTTTTTTTTAACATGGGGAAATGCCTACGCATACCCGCCTCGCGGGGGCAAGGACGGGTTATGTCGGACTCGCACCGACTAAAACCCCATGGTGTTCCACCTTCGTCGCATATTGGCAGGGCTACGGGAACGCTTTCGCACACTTCCGCGGCCCTACCAGCGACTGCCGCCCCATGGCAGCACCTCCTCGGGAGAGGAATATTCCTCCCCGTTCTCCTTCCCAAGAAAGGCGCACCCAGAACACATGGCACGCCTTCCACGGCCACCAATTACATCTGCGCAACAGACGCCCCCGCGTCCGATGCGCGAAGGCCATGGGGCCAGGAAAAACGAGCACTTAGAAGTACTAGCCTTCCCGACCCCAGCGGCGGATCTGGTCTATGGCTCCGCCGCCAACCAAGATTCGGCTGCGGAGGATAGGGAGAGCGGCGCCTCGCAATACCGACAATCCTCTCCCCCCGCAGCCCCATCACCACCGCATCAACGGTGCGGCCCCATTTGAGTCGCGGAGGATAGGGCGAGTGGCGCATCGCCATACCAACACTCCTCTTCCTCCGCGACTCCACCTCAGCTGCAGCGGTAGAGGGTGCGGAGTCCCCACTCGCTGCAGTCCACCAGCACACATCCGAAGTGGGCTCCCCAAGCCTACTCGGAGTGGCCACCTCAGGCCGGCCCTTCACCTCGGGCCAGCCACGTGGGTTCCTCTTTGTTCACCGTGGGAGACCAAGCCACGGCTACTAAGCCCCCCCGCCACGACAAGGCGGGAACCCGTTCGGGGGAGGGGGGGTCAGGGAGGCCTAAGTCGTACAATTTGTAGATAAGGCCCTCATGCCAGACTCTGTCGAATGCCTTGGCAATGTCGAAAAAGTCCGCGATGGTCTTTTGACGACGAGGATAAAAATAGCTGAGGATATATTCCACTATGCGGTGAACTTGCTGGGGGCACGAGTGTTTGGCACGAAACCCGAATTGTTGAGGGATGACAAGAGGGTCGCCGTCTGTGGGAAACAAATGGCGCCTCATGCGCACGAGAATTACTCGTTCGAAGAGTTTGCCCATGGCCTTGAGGAGGCTGATGGGGCGGTGATTGGAGGGGTAGCCACTTACCATCAGGTGGACTATTATATTTGTTTGTCACTTCAGTTTTATAAAAAAAACAGTAGTGGATGACTTTGACAGGTGTGTGTTTTGCAAATTATGGTTGAATATGGATAACTCGAACCTCGTTATGTCGTAATCAGACGTAAAAAGACGAAAAAAATTGCCATTTTCGCTGATTGAACCCTTAAATACTCAGTATCTCGAGTTATTTCGACTTTGTAACTCAAACAAAATGTTATTTCCTTGCGAGGCATTGACAGTACATATTTACACGTTATGACTCGAATTTCCAAAAACAGGACTTCGTAAGACGAAATTATTAAAATATATTCTCTTACTTGGAATTTTCCGAAATCATAGCAATAAAATCCAAAAGTAGTTAAAGGTAAAAGTAGTAGTTAGTAGTTTGTTGCTCCTGTTCTTTGTACACATGCTGGGCAAATTTTTGTTAACTCGAAATTTTAGCATTTCTCTTAAAATTCGAGTTATCCAAATTTCACGGTATTTTAATAATGTATGAGAAGAGAATACACTTGTGAAGAATCACGATCTTCAGACTTTCCAGGAGGCAGTTCAGGTCAGCCGAAAGCTTGTTGGGGGGGTCCGAGAGAGAGTTTCTCGGTCTGCGCACACTATAGCAAGTGTGGATAGGGGCTGCATAGGCACCTGTCTCACGAATGAGATGATGTGGGTGGGACTCTGAGGCGTTGAAAAATCTCTCAGAGAGTGATTTAAGGAACTGCTGGATTGTTGGGAGCTCTAAGTCTCGGTGTAGGTCGGCATTACGGACATAATAGGGCGAGTTAGTGGCCCTACGACAGAATAGATTTTGAACTATTTGAAGTTCATTTATAACTTTGGGTTTAGCATGTGCGAAAATGGGGCCCGCGTAGGTCATAACATGTCGTATACAGACCTTATATAGAGTTCGCTTGTTGCGGAGAGACATGTTACTGTGTCTGCCCAACATGCTGTTGAGCCTACCCATGTAAAATCGCGCGGTGCGAGTTACCTTCTTGATATGGGGCTCTAAAGTGAGCCTTGCATCAAAGGTGACGCCTAAGTATTTGGCTTTTATTTGCCATGGGACAGGGGTTCCTAACATCCTGATTGGCGGAGTGGCGGTGAGACGGCGTCGTTTATATTCGAAGCAAACGGCGGAGCTCTTCTCCGGGTTTACGTCGATATGCCATTTTTGGAACCAAGCTCCTAAGTCGTTAACTGACTTTTGGATCTTGTTCCGAATCTGTGGCAGTGAGTTGCCTTTAGAGTAAAGGGCTGTGTCATCTGCGAAGAGGGCTAGTTTAACACCATTCGACGGGATAGGGATGTCGTTGGTGAATAGTATATATAGGAGGGGGGCAAGCACAGAGCCTTGAGGGACACCGGCTTTGATTTGACGAGTAGAGGATAGCGTGCCTTCGTGTCTAAAACTAAAGGTACGATCCTTCAAATAGGAGGCTACAAGGCGGACGAGGCGGTCAGGGAGGCCTTTTTTTTTTTAACATGGGGAAATGCCTACGCATACCCGCCTCGCGGGGGCAAGGACGGGTTATGTCGGACTCGCACCGACTAAAACCCCATGGTGTTCCACCTTCGTCGCATATTGGCAGGGCTACGGGAACGCTTTCGCACACTTCCGCGGCCCTACCAGCGACTGCCGCCCCATGGCAGCACCTCCTCGGGAGAGGAATATTCCTCCCCGTTCTCCTTCCCAAGTAAGGCGCACCCAGAACACATGGCACGCCTTCCACGGCCACCAATTACATCTGCGCAACAGACGCCCCCGCGTCCGATGCGCGAAGGCCATGGGGCCAGGAAAAACGAGCACTTAGAAGTACTAGCCTTCCCGACCCCAGCGGCGGATCTGGTCTATGGCTCCGCCGCCAACCAAGATTCGGCTGCGGAGGATAGGGAGAGCGGCGCCTCGCAATACCGACAATCCTCTCCCCCCGCAGCCCCATCACCACCGCATCAACGGTGCGGCCCCATTTGAGTCGCGGAGGATAGGGCGAGTGGCGCATCGCCATACCAACACTCCTCTTCCTCCGCGACTCCACCTCAGCTGCAGCGGTAGAGGGTGCGGAGTCCCCACTCGCTGCAGTCCACCAGCACACATCCGAAGTGGGCTCCCCAAGCCTACTCGGAGTGGCCACCTCAGGCCGGCCCTTCACCTCGGGCCAGCCACGTGGGTTCCTCTTTGTTCACCGTGGGAGACCAAGCCACGGCTACTAAGCCCCCCGCCACGACAAGGCGGGAACCCGTTCGGGGGAGGGGGGGGTCAGGGAGGCCTAAGTCGTACAATTTGTAGATAAGGCCCTCATGCCAGACTCTGTCGAATGCCTTGGCAATGTCGAAAAAGTCCGCGATGGTCTTTTGACGACGAGGATAAAAATAGCTGAGGATATATTCCACTATGCGGTGAACTTGCTGGGGGCACGAGTGTTTGGCACGAAACCCGAATTGTTGAGGGATGACAAGAGGGTCGCCGTCTGTGGGAAACAAATGGCGCCTCATGCGCACGAGAATTACTCGTTCGAAGAGTTTGCCCATGGCCTTGAGGAGGCTGATGGGGCGGTGATTGGAGGGGTAGCCACTTACCATCAGGTGGACTATTATATTTGTTTGTCACTTCAGTTTTATAAAAAAAACAGTAGTGGATGACTTTGACAGGTGTGTGTTTTGCAAATTATGGTTGAATATGGATAACTCGAACCTCGTTATGTCGTAATCAGACGTAAAAAGACGAAAAAAATTGCCATTTTCGCTGATTGAACCCTTAAATACTCAGTATCTCGAGTTATTTCGACTTTGTAACTCAAACAAAATGTTATTTCCTTGCGAAGCATTGACAGTACATATTTACACGCTATGACTCGAATTTCCAAAAACAGGACTTCGTAAGACGAAATTATTAAAATATATTCTCTTACTTGGAATTTTCCGAAATCATAGCAATAAAATCCAAAAGTAGTTAAAGGTAAAAGTAGTAGTTAGTAGTTTGTTGCTCCTGTTCTTTGTACACATGCTGGGCAAATTTTTGTTAACTCGAAATATTTAGCATTTCCCTTAAAATTCGAGTTATCCAAATTTCACGGTATTTTAATAATGTATGAGAATACACTTGTGAAGATTCACGATCTTCAGACTTTAACCCACGGTCTTCAGACTTTAAACCATTACAGGGCCAGATTTAGTGTAGGGCGACCTACACTAAATATGGCCCTGTTTATATTGTCAATGTAGTGACGCAGTTTAGGCAAATCGTGTTTTGTGAACTCATTAGGGTGAAAATGTTAATGATGATTCTGATTATTTCAGTGGCGACTACTCGAAATGTCGGGCGTTGAGCGACGTCGGCTGTGCTGTGCGGTCTTGTTTCACTGCGTGGCAGCGCTCTGCGTGATGTGGTCGCTGTTCGTACTGATCGAGCGAGCAGTGGAGGAGGTCAACCGTGGACTCATCGGTAAAAGTTAGCCATTTCTATTAATTTGTGTAGTATCGTTATTTATATAACTAGGTGTATTATTGATAGTCACATAAGGAAGCTTCCTCTTTTATCATTAATAGGCCAATGTTTACCAAAAAAAAAAAAATGTCTTGAAAATTACTAAGATGAATTTTGAGGAGTTAGTGGGATGTTTGGCGAGCTGGTGACGCGTCTATGTAACCATACGCGCACGTATTCGACTTAACAACTAGCTGAAACACAACGGTCCCTGATGGTTAAATAATAAGGCAGCAAGTGAGGAACCGGAATTCTCCAGCCTTTCGTTATATAGTTGAGTTGCGTTAAACCTTTAGTACATTAGCGACATGCGAACACCGAGTATTTGTTTTGCCAAGTTATGCCAAAGGCTAGGTTTCCAATTTACACACAGTAATCTTGCACTTAGGCTTGAGATTAGCCTGTATATGAGAGGTTGTTACGACTAACCCTTTTTGTGTATGTTGCTTGTATATTAGGAATATTCAACGATTTTGAAATAAATCTGGTGTTCAAGAAAATGCATACAAGATTAAACAGGGTGCGTGCGCCAGTCCCTCACCAGGAACCAGTAGTACACCATTTCAATCTTCAAACCTAAATATTAACCTTGTTTTGAATTTCCCCCGCTTTTTTACATTTGTTAGTCTTGACGTACTTCTACCAATCATGTAATCACAACTAAAAGCGATATACGCGCCATGTACATCAGTAAAAAAACAGTCCGAGATGATAATGTTTGTTCACTTCGTTCCGGACGGCCATTTTACTAAGCACGCATACGACGGTAATTTATTTTAACCCTTTTAAATCTTTGTTTATATCAATTATTGTAAACAATTTTTGAGTTAACTGTATAATAATATAATGCCTATAACAATAATATTATTTCTTATTTTATCAGAAAATGTTTATTTAAATCTGATTGTCATTGGTAAACCATTGGAACACGAACTCTATAATTTCCCAGTAATATTCCATTTGTTCAACAACTGGTAATTAAGTTTTTTAATACATTTTTTATTTTACATCTCTTCTATAAGTTGTAAATTATTGAAGAATTTATTATAATAAATTCTTCAATAATTTACAATGATCCAGTTGTTGACCAGTGGTTTATTACTGGTAATATTTATCTACATGTTTGTTCCAGTAATTGACCACCTTCTTTGTACATACTTAATGCCACTGAAAAGAACTTTTTTCAAATATAAGATGTCATTAAACGATGAAAGAGATAAGTTAAGGCGCGAAATTTAGAGGAACATCCCGAAAATATAATGGGTCGGGGAAAAAGTATCTTTGTATTTTCTTTGTACAAAATTGACCGTGGAGTGGCGGTTGAGAATATCCACTACCCCATATTTTCCTGTGGGTGTCGTAAGAGGCGACAGAGGGAGGCAGGCAGGAGATGGGCAGCAGCATCTTCCTGATAACGGCAATTTTACAATAAAAAACTGCGGTTACCAACCCGCTCGCCAAGCGTAGAAACTATGGGAAACATCCCCTCATGAGCAACGACACAAGCAAACGGCCCCCAGTCCCCGGTGGCCTCGCTATTCTTGGCGACGGTGGCGACCATGGTAAAGGTGGGGCAGGGAGTGCTAAGAATCTCCAGCGGAGGTTCGGTTGCCACCTACGACGACTCGACCTGTCTACATATAACGCACGCACCATGAAGACTGACGAGAAGATCCCAGAGCTGGAAGAAGAAGTAGAAAAGTTGCGCTGGCATATTATAGGATTATCCGAGGTCCGAAGAGAGGGGGAGGACACGGTAATCCTCGAGTCCGGCAACTTGTTCTATCACCGGGAGGGCGACCATCTGTCCCAAGGAGGTGTCGGATTTATCGTCCACAAGTCTCTCGTCAACAACGACAACAAGAGTGTGTCGATGAGGGTTGCTTGCCTGACACTCAGAATCACCAAACAGTATTCGGAGAAGGTCATATAGGCTTACACACCAACATCGGCACTTTTCGATGTGGAGGTGAAGGAAATGTATGAGGATATCTCTAGAGCCATGCATTCCTCCAAAATCCACTATACGGTGTTGATGGGAGACTTACGCAAAACTAGGTACAAGAGAAAGCGGTGATCTGAAGGTAAGAAAATGGAATAGGGCAAAGGAACCTAAGGGGCCTGCAGCTGGCCGACTTCATGGAGAAAGAGGGACTCTTCATGATTAACTCTTTCTTCCAGAAGTGGCCCCACAGGAAGTGGACCTGGTCGAGCTCCGACGGTTCGACAAAAAATGAGATTGACTTCATTATGACGACCAGACGCCAACTGTTCAGTGATGTCTCAGTGATCGCGAGGGTGAAAACTGGCAGCGATCACTGAATGGTTAGAGGCACACTGAACCTAAACTTTAAGTTGGAGAGGTCTCGTCTAATAAAGTCAACGCTCCGTCACCCTCGTGCGCTAATACAGACAACGGAACAGACAGATCTCCAAATACATGCGGCGGGACTTACGCAACTTCAATACGTATTGAAGGAGCGATTGAGCGAAACCAGGGCTCCAAAGTCTTTGTGCAAAGATATGTCTGCCAGAAAGAGCCAACTGTCGAAGCTGAAGACCGAGTGTGGCAGCATCGTTTCCGGGACACCTGAGATTTTGAGTGAGTTTGAGAGGTTCTATAGGTAGCTGTACATTTCATCGTTGGAGCCACACGCGAATGTGAGTAACGATCCAAGAGCAAGTCATATCTGACACTATCCCGATGATATCCCGGACGTCAGTCTGAACGAGATTAGAATGGCTCTCCAGCACCTTAAAAACGGCAAGTCCCCGGGCGAGAATGGAATTACAACGGAGCTTGCGGGGGGAAAACCGGTACTTGAAGTCCTTAAGAAGCTCTTTAATTCCGTCCTCAATGGTGGCACTACCCCCGAGGCGTGGATCAGAAGTGCGGTGGTCTTGTTCTTCAAAAGAGGTGACAACGCTTTCTTGAAGAACTCCAGACCGATATCATTTTAAGCCGCGTCTACATAGGCTGCACTAAAAGTATCGAGAATGGAATATTTCCACTGTTCCTGTCATATTAAAATCTTTTTAATTGAAAACTCCTTGGTTTTAAAAATCGAATACCATTTATTTATTTAAAAAAAGATTCTCGGTCTTGTCACAAGGTTTTGTCAAACTTGTTTAGTCGTTGAGAAAATGGAATTGACTCGAGAAAATTCAAGAGCGATGATTTATTATGACTTGACTTGACTTGACCACTTCGAAAAGTGGTTTAACACAAAAACAGTGTGTTGACCGGATGATTTCTGCATTTGGTGATGAAGCCTCATCCAAAACCACAATTTATCGCTGGTTTGCTGAATTTCAACGTGGACGTGACTGAATTTCAAGGTCGTCCAAAAACTGCAGTCACCCAAGAAAACGTTGATGCTGTGCGTAAGCTGATTGAGGAAGATCGACATGTGACATACCGCGAAATTCAGGCAACTTTAGACATTGGCATGAGTCAAATACAAATAATCTTGCATGAACAATTAGATGTAAAAAGTTGTTTTCCCGATGGATACCGTATTCGCTCTGTGAAGAGCAAAAAGTGGCTCGCGTTACTTGGTGCGTCAGAACTATCGAAAGATTCCACGCAGGATCCTCAAATGCTGTATACAACATCGTATCAAGTGACGAATTCTGGATATACGCGTACGCACCCGAAATAAAAAACCAGTCACGAGTTTGGGTGTTCGAAAATGAGTTAAAGCCAACAAAAATTGTTAGTTCACGGAGTGTTGCAAAAAAATGGTGGCCACATTTGTCTCCAAAACCGGCCATGTTACAACTATTCCTCTTGAGGGACAAATAACGATTAATGCAGAATGGTATGCTAGCATTTGTTTGCCACAGGTCGTTTCTGAACTCCGTAAAGAGAACTACAACCGCCGCATCATCCTCCATCACGACAATACGAGTTCTCACACCGCACACAGAATAAAAGAGTTTTTAGCGCAAGAAAACATAGAATTATTAGACCATCCGCCGTACAGCCCCGACCTAAGCCCTAATGATTTCTATACTTACCCTAAAATAAAGAATAAATGGCGCGGACAAAGATTTTCATCACCTGAAGAAGCTGTGGACGCCTACAAAACGGCCATTTTGGAGATCCAAACTTTCGAATGTAATGGTTGCTTCAATGATTGGTTCCATCGTATGGAAAAATGTGTCAATTTTCGCGGAGAATACTTCGAAAAGCAATAACTACATTTTTAAAAGTAATGTTTTCACTTCCTTGATTCCCGAAATTTTTAGTGCCGCCCTCGTACGTACTGTTTTCGAGAGTCATTACGAATCGTCTTGCACGCAGACTCGATGACTTCCAGCCTCTCGAACAAGCCGGTTTCCGATAAGGCTTTAGCACCATAGACCACATACATACCCTTCGGCAAATTGTACAGAAGAGCGAAGAGTACAATCTGCCACTTTGCCTGGCGTATGTGGACTATGAGAAAGCTTTCGAAATTTGGGCGGTGCTTCCGTCCCTTCAGCGGTGCTAAGTTGACTGACGGTATATCGAAGTGCTGATGTGTTTGTACAGTAGGGCTACTGGCTATCCGAGTACAGAACCAGAGTACGAAACCTGTCCAACTGCAGAGAGGTTTAAGACATGGTGACGTTATATCCCCGAAACTTCACCGCTGCATTGGAAGACGTTCTCAAACTTCTGGACTGCAAAGGATACGGTATCAACATTAATGGCGAGTACACCAGTTACCTTCGATTTGCCAAGGATATAGTCCTTATGGCAGAATCGCTGGAGGACCTAAGCACTATGCTCAATGACCACAATAGTGCCTCTTAACGGATTGGTCTTAAGATCATGTGTAACGTCCGTGACAAAACGAAGATCATGTGTCACACCTATGCCGATATTTGTTAGAAGCACTAAGCTCGAAGTTGTTGACGAGTATGTTTACCTGGGACACATAGTCCGACTAGGTAAGTCCAACTTCGACCGA